TACCTACTTAGCGACATACATGCGAATTGTAGTAAAACTGTTTATTAAATAAATAAATAATACAATAGAAATGAAATAAGTGTTTACTAAATAAAATAATAATAATTTACTAATTAATTAACAGAGTAATTAATTAACAAGCACCTTTGTGCAGCACGTCGGTGCTGGCTTGAGGATGTTCTTGGCCAGGAAGAGTTGCGCGAGGGTCGTGACACGGGTTGACACGTTCTCCTGCGTCAGCAATGTGTACAGAAGCTTCACGGCGTCATGGCAACTCGTCTCCGACGTCTGCGACGAAAAAATCGCATGTGCCAAAATTAATTCACGTCGCGAGTTTCGAAGATCCGAATATTTGGCCGCATCAGATAATGTAACGTGGTGGCTCGATAAAAATTTTCATACACATAGTGGAAAGCATTTTATCAGTAAACAACACAAATTAATACAAATAATAATTTTATGCGCTCGACGATGCTTTTAGTTTTATTTAATTAATACCCTACATGACAGTATATAAGAAAAATACGTTTTCATATTATCCATATTAGAGTAGAGCAATTTGCACTATTGATAACTGTTTCTTAGAATTTTTTTAAATACTGATATCGTCTGTAAAATTTTGTGATTTATATTCAGGTTTGTGATGATCACTCGTTGTTCGATTATTCACTCATGTTTGCACAATTTTCGTTTTTCCTCTTCAGCATCATGCAGTTCAAACATCTATAATTTCCGATTACAGATAAATGAAAACCACGATATGCTAAATAGATTGTCAGTGTAGGCGGACAAAGAGTGGAAAACGAGTAAGGTGAATGCTGGTGACTATAAAACTGGTCGCATATACACTACGTGACAGACGATTTTCGACGATGCATGTCGCTTGTGAATTTTCGGGACGAAAGATGGCAGTGCAACGCTGCTAAAATTTGGCTGCTTGCAAACTCGAGCGCGCCGAACTTTTGCATAAAAATATTCTCCTATATATTAAACATGTGATTGCATAACTAGTGCGCCGATATTTAGTTTAAATAGTGGTAAATGTTATACCAAATAGTGCCGAAATTCCTCTTCTGTTAAAGTAGCCATCTTTGTTGCTCTAGATTCCTCGAAGCTAAGTTACCGCGCCACCTATTGGCGTGAAAAGTCTAAAACGTAGTAGCGTGACCACTCCCAAGCCATTTTGTTCACTTCGTTCTGCTGCAATGTAACCAATACTGAATATAATGTCATTTTTTATTGCATTTACCGTGTAAAATTTTTTACTCGATATGTTTAGCGTGTGTGTACTTAAGACGTTTACTTATCCTGAACACCAACCATGTACTATGATGGGGAGCAGAGAGCAATAATGAAGATTCTTAACTAGACAATATATATCACATTTACATTAAGACATATTATTAGATAACATATTTAAGTACGAAAGCAGAAAAATACCCATATTGAACTGTAAGCAGGAATCAGCATTTGAGCACAACTATATCAAACTGGATAACTAGTTAATGAATGATTAAAAAAATTATTAATTATCATAATAATCCGATTTAAAAGACTTAATGATAAAATTAACAATAAAATCAGATTTACGTTCAAAATTTCACCTTTATTTGTATTTTTTAAGAATTTCGTACAACACACTATAGCAAAGCACATGACAACTTCATTATATAATTTGTATACAATGACGAATAAAAGAATATCACCACAGAACACACTACAACGACTTTACAACACAGTGAATGATACAGATTAAATACCACATATTCACTCTTCACGCATACGTAAGCAAACGGATCACATCAGGCATCGCTACATTCAGAATTTCTCCTCTAATCATCACATACTCTATAACAACTAGATTTTCTATGAGAAACTCGACAACAGATGGCACCACGGTAGCTCTACTGTCGTCTGTTCTCCTCTCCCGTAGTCACGTGTTACTTCCCCGGATCAGCCATCAGGTCGCAGGCTATTTTGTGCTTGTTCCAGTGATCGACCTGGCATTCCCTGAGGAGGAAGACGAGAGATCATCCAGCGATGACATCAATAGCTAATAATACGTTTATGACATGTAGACAACCCCGCGACCTTTAGATGACCGAGCGATGACGTACAGATAACCCCACGACCTTTAAATGACCGAGCGATGACGTACAGATAACCCCACGACCATAGATTAGATAGGTAACATTAACTGCGTGAAAATGGTGTCGTGTTTTTTACCCGATTGTAACCATCATTCTGAGAGTCATTATTGCAGTTTTTATAGATTTCCAAAGGATGGAAGTGAAAAGCAACGGGAAATTTTTTTTTACAAAAAAACATTTTTTTCTTTATTTTTTTTTTTAATTAATTAAATATTGTAAGATCGACTTGCTACCGATGCTTTACCGCTGTCTGCAGCGCACACACTCGTGTTTTACGTACGCACAACATTTTCACTCAGTCAATGTTATGGAGCCAGTGGGTTGTTTAGAACCAGTGGGTTCGTTGTCATGCCACCGTGACGTCACACTTCGGTACGCTATTAGATGACGTAGCAATGACCTGTAGATGACCACACGACTGTTAAATGACCCAACAATGACATGTAGATAACCCCACGACCTTTAGATGACCCAGCAATGACCTACAGATAACCCCACGACTTTTAGATGACCCAGCAATGACCTATAAATAACCCCAAGACCTTTAGATGACCCATCAATGACCCCACGACCGTTAAATGACCCAACAATGACCTGTAGATAACCCCACGACCTTGAGTTGACCCCGGCAGCGCTCACCTCCTGCAGTACCACTCGTTCCTGCAGCGCGAGCATCGCTTCGCCGCTTCTTGCCCACAGAGGGCGCACCTAGGCGGCTCGCACATCACGCTCTCTAGCGTGTCGATGTCGTAAGCCGAGGCGAGTCTGTAACGAGACAAGGTCGCGGGCGTGGTGAACCCGTGTTCCTCCCTCCTCCGCGATGCCTCCTTCCCTCCCAGAGAGGCTCCTCTCCCTTTTCCAGGAGACCCTTCCTTCCCTGAGGCTTTTCTCCCTTCTCCAGGAGAGGCGTCTTTCCCAGAGAGGCTCCTCTCCCTTCTCCAGGAGAGGATCCTCTCCCTTCTCCAGGAGAGGATTCCTTCCCAGAGAGGATCATCTCCCTTCTCCAGGAGAGGCTTCCTTCCCAGAGAGGCTCCTCTCCCTTCTCTAGGAGAGGCTTCCTTCCAGGAGGCTCCTCTCCCTTCTCTAGGAGACCCTTCCTTCTCCGAGAGGCTTCTCTCCCTTCTCTAGGAGAGGCTTCCTTCCCTAAGGCTCTCTCTCCCCGCTTCTTTTCCTGGGAGGTCCCTCCCTCCCCCAGTAGGTCTCTCCCTCCACTAGGAGACCCCTCCCTACCCCAAGTAGGTCTCTCTCTCCCCCTGGGAGGTCCCTCCCTCCACCATCAGGCCCATGCCTTCCCCAGAAAAACCTCCCTCCCCGCACACTCACCTGCGAGCATCCTCTCGCATGTCTTCCTTGCTCTGCTGCAGGAGGAACTTGGCCTGCGAGCGCGCCAGCTCCTCCCAGCGTCCCTCATGCGCGCGCAGCACCGCCGCCCTCATCTCAGGAACCTGCGGGGGAGGAGGAAGAGAGGTCACGACCTCAGGGTCGGCAACACGAGTCGCAGTCTCTCTCTCTCTCTCTCTCTCTCTCTCTCTCTCTCTCTCTCTCTCTCTCTCTCGCTCTCCCCCCCCCTCTCTCTCTCTG